CGACATGACTGTTGTGATAGGTGTCACATGTTCGATTGATCCTCAACAGAGTAGAGAGAGGACAATCGTTTTGTTCAAGAATAAGCCGCTCGAATATTTCAAAGGCAATTTCGACGCGGTCCCTTCAGCCCTTAGGAGACCAAGGCTGCTTATGCAGGGCGGAGGCGGTCAGGTATAGATGGCAAGAAAGCTCGTAGAGAAGAAAGCTTGCAGGCCAGCAAGGCTCAGGCGTTGAAGCACAAGGAGGACAAGAAGCTAAACCAAGTCGCGTCATGACGGCATCAAGCAGAAGATCGTATTGGGTATGAGAGTAACGCAAAGGGTCATCGCTTCATGCGGAAGGGGGAGGAGGAGGAGGAGGTTGACTCTGGCTGCAGATGTCCAAGATGGCTGAAGTCGCATCCTTGTTTGTGGGGTCAGCATTGCTGGTTGGCTTTTGCTCTTTCTTCAACTGCTTCGAGTAGAGGAGGAGGAAGGGAGTTTGTGTTGGTGTTTGCTTGTAATAATTGTTAAAGATGCTTCCCTCCACCCCCTTTGCTCGCACAGAAATGCAGGAGCAGAAACATCTGCCGCTGCGGATGGTGATGATGCTGAGCAGGAGCAGGAGCAGGAGCAGGAGCAGGAGCAGGAGCAGGAGCAGGAGCAGGAGCAGGAGCAGGAGGAGGGAGGGGCAATCCGAGGGAGAGAGCGTGCCGAAAAGGAGGAGGTAGACACCAGTCTACCTGCAAACGAGGTTGGGGCAACTGCCTGGCAGGGGAAAATGGGGAAGGGAAGATGGGGAGGAAGGAGAAGGGGTTCAGGAGAGGTGCTGTTCATCCTGCTAGAGGAGCGGTGTTGTAGAAGTCAATGTCGCATCCCATTCCATGGCATCCTCGCATGCCGTAAACGTCGTCGATTTCAGGCTGAACCCAATTGAGCCGCCTGCCACTCTACGTCACTCACTCCTCCTCCTCTTCTCCTCCTCCTCCTCCTCCTCCATAACTCACTTCAGAGTCCCATCAGCCACATCATACACAACCGCATGAATGCGCGGGGTTGCGAACGGCTGCACCGGATCAGTCTGCTTCAGCCTGTTCTGCACGATGGACATCTGGTAGACAGTCCGGCACGACTCGATGACGTTGAGCTCGACCAGCCTCCTCCTCTTCGCCATCGGATCCTCGATCTTCTCGAGCTCCTTCAGGTGGGTCCTGTAAACGTCCCTGATGTGTGAGATCCAGTTCTCCAGCGGGCTCGCAAAGTTCTCCTTGTTGAACGCCGCCTGGATCCCCATGCAGCTGTAGTGCCCGCAGACGATGATGTGCTGAACCTGCCAAGTCCTGCATCACTCGCTGCCCTCCTCCTCCTCCTGCCATCGACCCTCTCCTCCTCACCTATCCCTCCACTCCACTCATCCTCTCCTCTCCTCTCCTCTCCCCTCCCCTCCCCTCGTCTCCTGTCTTGTCCTGCTCTCCCTCTCCTCTTCTCTCCTCCTCTGTCTTCTCACCTCCAAGTAGTCAACGGCATATTGCAAGCAGCTCATCAGGTTGACATCATACGGCATCACAATATTTGCCATGTTCCTGTGAACGAAAACCTGCCGGCACTGTCATCCTCCCTTCACCTCCTCCTCCTCCACCAGCACCAGCACCAGCACCAGCACCAGCACCAGCGCCAGCACCTCCTCCTCCTCCTCCTCCTCCGCCTCCTCCTCCTCCTCCACCTCCACCTCAGATGAGGATAGAACTACTTCGTCTGCAGATCCTCGACCCTGTGATCTCTGCGCTTGTAGAGAGCGACCATACCTCCTTGGCGCTAGAGGATGCTTCCTTCTCCTCCGCCACCGATACCGTTGCCGCCGCCGCCTCTGCTGCTTCCTCTTCCTCCTCCTCTTCGACTTTGAGCTTTTCTCATTCCTCGCCTCACATCAACGCGCTCATCATCATCAAGAATCTGGCGCAGACAGATGTAGTCCTTACTAAGTTGCACGTGGA